GCTCAGGACAGGAGAGTTTCTTAAGGAAGATAAAATCCTTAATTCAAGCCGGACTAAGAAGAGAGTTTTTCGTGTTTGTTGTGGCCAGGCTCACTGGGACTCTCAGCACAGCTTCCTGCGTGACTCCATGCTGAACACAATTTTAATGACAGAAGTGGGAGTTCAGCTTAGAGCTTGACCTCATCAGACTGGTCGCCAGCAGCCTGCTGTGGCAGTACTTTAGATGGATCACTTCTCACAGCTGTCTAGCTAGATTTCTTCAAGGTAGGAACTGAAACATGTACCCAATCTCACATGCCTACAAAGTGATTGTCGCTGAGTGTATAGTAACTGGACCACATATTTTCCCTGGAAAATGGGCAAAATCAGTTCCTTAGTGCAGAAGAGATGCAACTGGGACAACTGGATTTTTTGTCAGGAGACATCTCCATGAAAGAAATTTTTCTTTTATGTTGTCAATTAGGTTCCTGAAGCACCTGAACTCTTCAAAGAAAAGGTTCAGGCTTCTTTAGTATAGGGAAAACATTGCAATTGTCCTGTGGGTTTTTTTTTTTGTTGTTGTTTTTTTGTGGTTTTTTTTGGTTTTTTTGTGAAAGGTAAAATGGTTTTGGATGGTTTTGGATTTGGAAAATCTTCTGAGAATTAAAAGCAAAAATGTAAAGAAGAAAGCTGGAACTAGTCTGAGAAAGTCTGGCACAGGGCTCAGCAGAAAGCATTTGACATTGACAGTGTTTTATGGGCAAGTGGAAACAGACCCTGAATCAAAGACCTTGGTAACCAGTAACAGACATTCCCCCCTCAGTCAGTCAGGGGGGGTTTACTTTCCAGTGGGTTGGGAGTTAACATTACAATAAGAATTCTGTAGCATTTAAAAAATAATAAAAATAACAGGGAATGAGATGGCTATTGTGAGAAATTCTTCATGTTAGTGGCCTTTTACGGTCATCTGCGCTCATAGCCATAAATTTCTACTCAGATTGCTGTCCTTCCAATGAAAATGTTTGACTAAGAGCTTGATTTGCTTTTTTTTATAAGTAAAGATCTTGTTCTCAACAAATAAGTAGTATTTTTTTTTCCTTTGGGAAACAGCAACAAAAAATGTAACTCAGCAGAACTGGATAAACTGTTTGCATTACTTTACACTGTAGTTTTATTTTTTTTAATCCAGGCAAGTTGGACTTGGATGGAACAGATATTATTTATTTATTTGATACTAAGTCTAGCAAAAGCTTTTCTAAAATCCAAGGTGAAAACAAAGATGTTAAATGAGGACTTTAATCCAGGAACAATTTGGATATACCTACCTGAAGTATGTCTTTGCTATGAAAGTACTCTTAAGATGAGCACTGGCATTTAAATGTGAGCAATTATCTAAGACTGATGGGACTTTCCTTACCTCCAGCTGTGCCTATCCTCTATTGAAAAAGTCACCCAGGAGATTCCTGACGTTGAGTCATTGTGCCAGACTGACATCCTTTTGCAGTGGTCTGATTTCCTGGTCACAAGTGGAAATTATAAGAATGCCTGAGGGCAGTTAGGACATGAGGTGCTGGATGTGAGCTAAGAAGTGACTTGAGAGAGCACTGCGACACTGTAGTTAAACATCTCAACCCCAAAAAACTTGCTCAGTTGTTTTCTGATTTTGCTAGGTATTCTTCTGCCTGACAGTTCTTGAAACATCTGAGGCCATGCTCCTTTGCTCACTCTATAAGCAATCTTATCTGAGTGTTTTCATGCCTTTGTATCTGTGCCCAGGCTACAGGAAGGAGCTGAGTGAAGTTTTTTTGTTCGTTTGTTTTAAGGTGATTTGTTCTCAATGTCTCACACACATCATGCATGAAAGGGATTTATGGCTCCTATTTTGCAGGGATGTGGTGGTAGTGCAGCTTCTTGTATTCAAGAACTTGCAATTCAGTTAGTGCTATGAAAAATCTGCAGTGAAATAGGTGAATGTCTTGAATATCTTCAAGATTCATAACACCTTGGAGCAGGTGCTGAAATTGCTGGTAAATTGTTTGGAGCTGAACATGTACACACCCACAGACACCCCCCATCAGCCCATCTTGTGACAGGCCTGACCCAGGAATTGTTTGAAACCACAAGTTTAGAATTCCTTGCAAAACCTTACCATGCCCTTCCTAAAGCTGCTCTGGTAGCACTGAGCTGCAGTCAGCATGAAGAAAACCTGGTACCTGTCCACTGGCAGAGTACAAGAGGCAGCTAAACTTGCATGTGCTGAGATACTGCAGAAAAACTGTGGTGTGACATCCACTTCACTGACATGGCCAGGCTATATTCTATCCCCCATCTAGGCTTACAGATTTTCTCTCTGGAGAGCTAGGGCACAAGGATAGAGATTGAAAAATGTCTGGGTTTCATCACAGACATAAGCCATAACTCTGGAGTGCACGTCTTCATTTGGAAAATGCAGAAGTCGTCCTGGGTTCTAGCATTGCTACAGCTCTGTGTTGCCTGCTACAGCATCTACTAAAAACTTTCCTGGATTTTAAACCTATTTGTCCAGGAAAAGGCTGATACCTTGCTGTTATAATATGAACTTGTCTTAAGAGTAAAAAATATGACATTCAGAAATACGGATAGAGAAGTGTCACGAGATAACGCCTCAGGGCTTGTCTCTGTATTTTAAGTATATTTATCGCAGGGAGTTCTCTGACAATTAGGCAGCGGTTGAGGAACTTTAACCTGAAATGTTGAGGGAGGTAATAGGGCACCTATTCACTCTTAGTTAATCCCAAAGGGCACCCTCACCCCTGGTCCCCTGGGATAACTATGAGTACAGCAAAGATGTGACCAGGACATTAGAGACATCACCTCAGGGCAGTTTAGCTTGATTGTAACAAAACCAATGTGATTATCTTAGATCTGGGCTGCTACACAGGGAAGAATTAGATATATTTTAAAATTAATCAGTACAATGTTAAAGAAAAACATGGTATTTTAAAATTTACTTTAAAATAAATCTCTCAAATTTTCCATCCTCCAAAGTTTATTAAAGAAAATTGAATTGTGCTAGAGTCTGTATCCTGGTCATCCTGCAGTAAATCCAATGTTAGCAACACAGAATGAAACTGATCATCAGGTTGATTTTTTTCCTCATGGTTTTTCTATACCAGACAATCATGTTCTATATGACATTTAATACACTGATCAGGCATCACTTTAAAACTGCCCATATGGATGTTTCTGTCTTTGTTCTGGACAGCAGCATACATCACCTTCTAATTTCCAGCTTCCAGTGCTGAAGAGTTTAGTTGTCTTTTTTCTTGAACCAAATGTAGTCTCTTCACTTAGAGTAGCCATCTATTCCCTTCATGATCTACAGTCCTCCACAGAGACATACTGCTCCTCCTGCTGCCCTTCTCTGCACCTATTCAAGTTGGTTCCATCTACAAAAAGTATAAAAGGCCCAAACTGTGCAGAGTGCACTTGGGTTTGTGTCGCCAGGTTTTGGTAGCAAGGGGCTCCAGGGGGGCTTTGTGTGAGAAGCTGCCAGAAGCTTCTCCTGTGTCTGACAGAGCCAATACCAGCTGGCTGCAGGCTGGACCCACTGCTGGCCACAGCTGAGCCCATTAGGGATGGTGGTAGAGCCTCTGGGATAACAAACTGGAATAGCGTGGGGAGGGGAGGAGGGAGAATAGCTGTGGAGACAGCAGCCAAAGAGAAGAGTGGGAACGTGTGAGAGAAACAGCTCTGCAGACACCAAGGTCAGCGAAGATGGAGGGGGGGGGAGGTGCTCCAAGTGCCAGAGCAAATTCCCCTGCAACACATGGAGGTCCATGATGGAGCTGATAGCTGCTTTCTGCCCCAAGAGAATCCCATGCCAGAGACACGGTGCCTGAAGGAGACTGTGACCCTGTGGGATGCCTGTGCTGGAGCAGGCTCCTGTGGAGAGAGGAGCCCACACTGGAGCAGGATCTCTGGCAGGACTTGTGACCCCATGGGGGACCCACTGGAGTAGCCTGCTCCTGAAGGGATGCACTTCATGTAAGGGATCCCACACTAGAGCAGTGTTTGAAGAACTATAGCTGCTGGGAGGCTCTCCAATTGGAGCAGTTCATGGAGGACTGACTGTCTCCTGTGGGAGGGACCCCATGCTGCAGCAGGGAAAGTGTGAGGAGCTCTCCTGCTGAAGAGGAAGGAAGAACAGAGACAATATGTGATGAACTGACCACAGACCGCATCTCCTGTCCCCCTGCATCTCTGGGGAGGAAGCAGGTAGAGCATTCAGGAGCCAAGTTAAGTCTCAAAAGAAAGGAGGTTGGGAAAAAGTTGGTTTTAAAATGTTGTTTTATTTCTCAATAGTCACTTTGATTTGATGGGTAATAACTTTTTTTTCCCCAAGTCAAAACTGTTTTCCTGTCACAGTAATTGCTGAGAGGTGTCTCTCTCTCCTTATCTACACCATGAGCCCTTGAGCAGTGCTTCTTCTCTGCCCAGCTGCAGAGGGGAGTGATAGAGGGACTCCCATTGGCACCTGGTGTCCAGCCAGGGTCAGCCCACCACCAGAGTACACTGTATTTATATTCAGGCATTGGTAGCTGGTGACAGAGACTAGGAAATAGCAATTTGCTATCTGATATAACTTTTATTCAGACTATTTATAGAAATCACATCTATTTCTTACTGTTTTTTCTGAAGTGAAAATGTTCAGTGTAAGGTTTGACTGTACTGTATTTACTGCAGAAGAAATAAATAATTCAGTTGGTATTTCTAAAAATATAATTAGTTGATGAGTCAGAGAAGAATTTAATTTTTATAAATGTTAAGGCTGGAAGACTGGGATTATTATGATCTGTGTGTCTGACCTGTGACTCTCTCATATCTTAGGAGGCTGCCTGGTAATTCACACATCAATTTGTAATTAAGATGTATGATTCTTCAGAGGAGATTGGATAAAGGGCCCAAACCATCTGCTTGAGATGTGCTGAATGTTATTTCACACAAACAAACAAAAGGTACACCTCACAGACAAGCCCAAATGTTGTGACTCATAATTTTAATTAAAAAATTCAAGACCATTAACATTTATTAATTACTGATAGTTCAGTGCAAATTTTTAGAGCATCATACATAACTGTGAACCACTATGTCTGTGTGTTTGTATATATATTTATACATATAAGGCAATGAAACATATTTCTATTTATGGGAATCTAAGCCTTACCAAGAACCTGTGTCAGCCACGGGAGATGTGTAAATAGAAAAGGAAGCAGCTGGGATAAAAGGAAAAACATAAACTAATCAAACTCTAGACTGCAATAGAAGCTGCCATGAAAGAAGAAAATGAAAACCAAAAACTCACACCACATAGAGCAAAAGATCAATATTTTATTGACTGACAACAGACTGCTACGTACTCATTGGTCAGTCATTATCCATATTGATTTTTATGCCACTGCACTTCAGCCCTGGCTTAGCCATGCACACATATTCTTCCTATTTTTCCATTTTTCTACCTAAAGTAATGGCTGTCTTCAATATGAATAAAGGCCACTCAAGTCAGGCAAATAACTCTATGCACTCAAGGTCAGAGTCTGAAGAAAAATGACTTAAAGCCATCCGAGATGAGGACTCAAACTCTGCTGGACAGTGCAGAGCCTGCCATTCCTAACATCACTGATCCATCCACAATGGCCCAGTACAGGAATCAGGCCACTGCAACACACACTGTGGAAAAAGGAAGAGGATAGATGTTTGTAACTCAGCTCTAGATGACCTTTAATAGTAGACATTTGAGTTCTGGAGCTCAGCAGGCAGATGTAAAGGCTGGCTACTTAGAAACTAAGGCCCTGTAGTACAAGCAAGAGCTGCCTGGCTTACAGTGACAATTACTAATTCTTGAAATACTGTTAAAAAACACACGTGGCTAATGGTGGAATGAATCAGGAATTAGTTCTGGAGAGTTGATAGCCTGCTGTCCAGAAACAGGAATTTGCAGGCAGAGGAATGAACTGTGACTCAAAGACCAAGCAGGTAAGGCCCTTAATAGGGCTTAATTGCTGGCAAATGAAGTTTTTAATGAAGGAAAGTACAAGGTTAAAGGGACCAGTATGAGTTGGCTCTTGCATCAACTAATAAAGAAAGTATATTTTAGGCCTGTATTTGAAGGTATAGCAAAGAGAGTGGAAACAGAGTCTTAAGACATATTAATTATGGGAAAATGTACGTCAGCACTATTCAATCTTGAGCACTCCTTACCTCTTGCATTAGCTGAAAATATGGGTTTATTTATGTTCTAGAGCAGCCATGCCTAAAAATTTAAGTACAGTTACCCACTTGTGGGAGGAAAGAACCTGTGCTGTAGTGTTTTGGGTGACTTCTTTGGGGACCAATACCAGTAAGGGAAGGAAAGTGACATTTTTTCCATTGAATTGGCCCTTGGAATGGGCCTTTCTGACTCTGTGCTCCTCAATGTGTAAGCATCTCCTACTCACAAGTTCTGCCTGCTTTGTCAGCATCTTTTTTGCTCAAAGTATTGAAGAATATAATATTTACTTTGACTTATTTCAATGTTATCATCCAAGAGAAAAATGCTTGTGCCCAGCTTTCTATGCCAAGATCTGCATCTGTGAATCAGTGCTAATGCCTCATCATTATTTACATGCCAAACAGACATTTCAGAATCCTCCTTGGTTCAGAAGTGATAAAAAATAAATTTTTAGGCTTCTAACAGCAGAGTGCAGTGTGCTACAAGGAAAACCTAGTGGAGTTTGTCTTTAAATATATACAAATCTTTTCTGCATTGTTTTATTAACCAGTATGGGGGGTTGTTTAATTTTTGTCTATAAAGAGTTGAGAACTATGATGACCTTAAACTGTTGTTGGAAAGTTACTTGAATGACTAAATAACTGTAGTACATTTAATCTGGTTTTCTTATAGCAGACCAATGAACTATATTGCTACAGAGTGAGAACAATGCAGCTGTACAGCTTTCCACAGAACTATGAAGCAGAGCCACATTTGTGGCAAAGGATGTCATCCTGCCGAGTGAGGAATTCCTGGCCTACCAGGGAGATGGAGCATTTTGTACAGCTAAAGCATTCCCCATGCCACTGACGCTCCTCAAATGTGATGTATTTGGCACCTCCAAGAGCTGAAAAACAGTATGAAAAAAAAAAAAAAAAAAAAAGAAGATCTGAATCCAGTATTTCTAGGCATGGTTCAGTAATACAACAGAGGGTTTTCGGATGCGTGATCAGGTTGTCATTCACATAGCAAATGGAAAAATGAACAAAAATCCATTAAAATTAAACCCAATGTTTAATGTACAATAGTGTGAAATACTCTTTATTGGCTGAATTGAAAAATACCTTTAAAATTTAAACAGTGGGAAATACTTCAAGCAAAGCCACAAGTCACTTGCTTGCATATCCCATTACGAGTTCTGAACACAATGGGTTTATCATTTCTGATAAAGTCCATTCAGGTTTGCTGATCTTCCCAACAAACTCTCATGGAAGTTATTTGCAATATGTGTATAGTTTAAATACAACTCTGAATGAAATTTAATAATTTTTTTTTAATCATGCATATGTGATTGGGTATTCATTGATTTCTTTGTCCAATGACATATGCAGCATGCACCTGTAAGAATCAGGAAGTACTTTTCAACAGCTGACTCCACACATAATAGGATTAAGGTGCAGAACACCAACAAATGCTCTCAGAAAACTTCAGCTATCATAGGCCAGTGACAAACATGTCTAATTATAAATCATATATAAGTATGCAAGGATTCATGAAATAGAGCTCTGATGCATTTGGCAAGCTTTCTAATTTGACAGGTGTGTCTTACCAGCAGGCAGTTAATCTGTGTTCAGTTTGATCAAATTTGCATTTAAAAACAAATCTGAAGAAATCACAGAGGGGCTTGTGTGTACTGTCCTGGGAAGAACAAAAAAAGCACCTTTTAAAATATTCTTAAGGAGGAATTTTACTACAGAAAACACTACCTCAAAAAATGGAGGAACTCCTTTGGGCACATAAAACAACTCCTCATCCGTTAGGGAGCATGTGTGATCAGTATGCCCTAGCAAGATACAAGACATGTGACACAGAGAGAGTCTCTCTGATAGTTAACTCCTTCAGTCTCTTTCATTATGATGGGAGTAATTTTAATGTTTTTCTTTCCTAAAGTGAAAGTCTTTGTTGAGAGGAGACTGATGATTCATTTCTGTCTGGTCCCCTCTAGAAGATGAGACTCACCTGTAATAGGCATCTTGCAAGCAGCACACTTCTTGGCATGAAATTTGCTGAAGCAGTCTACACAGTATGGGTACTCATCTTTGGAAACGAATCTTTGTCGAGACAGCTGAGTTTTACACACAGCACACACAAAGCATTCTCTATGCCAAGGCTGGTCATGGTAAGTCACTCCTCCAGAAGTTATAACCTAATGTATTGACAAAGAAGGGCAGAGCAAAGAAACAAAGGTGTGAATCATGAAGGATTGAAGGGTGGCCACATCAACTTTTTTTCATCTGGATTATCCATTTAACTATACTGCAGTTGAAGTCCATATACTACTTGTTTGTTATTTTCAGTTTTCTACCACAGTATAACCTCATAATTTGTAATAAATATGTTATCTTTAAATGAAATTTTTCTGTTATACTGTAGATAATCACTATGAATCAGGCATGCTCTCAGAAAATAATTTCTCAGTGATAGTGGATGAGAGAACTGATGCTGAGATAATAGTTAATCTCCCACCAGTATTTTGCTGTCTCTCAAGTGCAACAGTATTTTAAATAGGAAGAAAGACAATAAAGAAACAGAAGTAAAACAGAACGGAGATCTACACAGTCAGAAGAAGAAAAAAAATCATGTTTATCAGTGTCATCAACTTCTGTTTTCCAGCAACACACTTACAGCTCTGCACTGGCTATTTTTGAAGAGGAAAATTTCCAGTTGTTCTGTGGCTCCCATATGTGTGGTAAAGAGCTGGTTTCACAGAATTTGTGAGAGACTACAGAGAAATTTCTATAAAGGTGAGCTGTAAGATAGTGTTTCTACTATCAAGTCACATGCATGACAGGAAATTAATGAATGAGTGAATGAATGAATGAATGAATACTGTTGAAATAGGAGAAGAAAAAATTAAAGAAACTTAAGTAAAAATAGCAGTATCATCAAATTTCCCTGGGGAATACAGTTTTAGGAAAATCAAGAATAATATGGGGTCAAGCAATAAAGAGATTGAAACAGTTTCCAATCCCTTTAATGTTCCAGTTTTGGGCTATTTTGTGTTACCTTTGCTTTTCCATTAAAATCTAAAAATCACTGACAAAAATTCAAGATTCATTTTGGCAATTTTGGCAATTTAATCTATTTGGGCTCAATTCTCATGTATGGGAATAGATGCAAGTTTCAGAAAAAAAATGGTTTTAGCTGTTATGTAGGGGGACTATTTGCATTCCTAGAAATTATAAGAAGCAAATCCTGATTATTTAATGTAGGAAGTGCTAAGTTCAATGCCTGTAATAAACATCAAGCATAATTACTATAATTGCCATGTGTTCATTTAATGCAAGTTAAAGCCTGGATGTAGAGACATGGGAATATATAAAAGTACTTTCTAAAGTTTGACTACTGAAGGAAAAAGTAGGCAGGATATTTTCCTGAAATTAAAAGCTTTTGTTACAGGTGAAGGTTTGCAGGTAATAATTACATATCTATAGGAAATTATAGGAATATAATTCCTATAATTATAGGAATTATACATGGGAATATATAAAAGTACTTTCTAAAGTTTAACTACTGAAGGAAAAAGTAGGCAGAATATTTTCCTGAAATTAATAGCTTTTGTTAGAGGTGAAGGTTTGCGGGTAATCATTACATAACTATAGGAAATTTGATGAAGCGGGAAAAAAAAAATAGCTTCCAGAGTAATGCAGGTACTAAAGAATAAATAAAATTCTGCCCTAAAAACAGCTTAAAACATTTCCCTAGAGAAAAGTATCACACTAGAATAGTATGATGCTTTTAGTATTTTCATCAACAAGAGACAATCTTAAAACATGAGAAGTCAAGGGAGGGAAGAACTGATTTATCTGTACCTGGGGGAAAAAAGAAACCAAATCAAGCTTTCTGGTGCCCATAAAGGTATCATCACATATTGCATCGGTGGAACTCCTGATTAGTGTTATCACAATTGAATGTTACTTGATCTGCTAATTGCCTGATACATTTCAAGAAAAAATAGTCAAGATTGTGGATGATTTGCTCATTTCAGGTGGCTAATTATGCATATGAATAAATCTCAAAAATTATGGAGAGGCATGTTTACAAAGGAAAAATCAGATATTTTCAAGAAAGAAGGGTTATATATTTATTTCCATTTAATCTTTGCTAAAAGTCACAATCAATAACTAATATCAATAGCCCAAAGCATTTGTTTTGGCAGATATAATCAATCTTAGATTAACAAGAGTGGACAGCAGACACTGTCACAGTTGCCTTTCAGTGTCCAGTGTCAATGGAAAGATTCTGATCTTAATCTTAGTTCACCACACATTTCACGTAATCCAGCCCTTTCTCCCATGAGCAATATTGCCTCATTAGGACATTTTTTGTATTGCGCGTTTAATTACCTTTTTGCAAGCATAGCAATGGTGAGCAAATTGCTTCTCAAAACAGGGCACACAGTAATTCTCATTGTCTTTGGTGATTAATGGTTTTGTTCCCAATGGTTGCTGACAATACTGGCAAACAAAACAGGATTCATGCCAGGAACTTCCCTTAAATTCCATTTTACGTGAACCTGAAAAAAACCACAGTGAACAATCCTCTCAGATATAGCCTTGTAATATGAGTTTTAAATGTTGGGAATGCTCTTGTTTTTGAACCTTCTACCTCAGCATTGGATTACCCAAGAAAACAGTAAACTTCAAAGTAATAGTGCTTTGAAGAATGCACTTGAAATTTCAAGAATACATCCAGTGCCATATATTCATCTGGCAAAAGATAGACTGAATTGCCTAAACTGTGATTTTTAGAGTCTGTTCTTATAAGAATCTTTTGGGGTTTCTTTGTGATTATGCTTGAATTGCTCAGTTTCTCTTAAAGCAGCCAGCTCAGTGATAATGGTCAGTACACAGCACTTTTATAAAGTAGAGATTAATTTGTTGGATGTTTAGTATATTTATTATTGTCCTATCTTCTGTCTTTCTTAAATTAAGGCTCCTTTACTTATAAATTAATTATTTATCTTAATCAGCTTAAATTGGCAACTTTCTAATAATAATTTTTTTTTCTGTGATACTGCACATTACTGCACATTACTGCACATTACTGCCTTCTCCTATAGCTCACCATTTCTGTCCTAGACCAACAATTCTTTTTATCATATTTAACTAGATGCTTTTGATACAGCACAAGGACAGAAAATTGCTCAGTTAAATGTTTGTTAGAGGAGTTTTAGAGCTTTTATCACTGTATGTAGATGTCCTATCTTGATATAGAAACATAAGTCTAAGTCAAGCACATATATCTGGGAGCTATATTTCCAGTGTATCTCCATCCTTAATTTCTTATCTGTGAGTAGCATCAGACTGAACTGAGAGGTGCAAGGTGCTTTAACCATCCTTTCCACATGAAGAAGAAGATTGCTGCTATAACTGATCAATTGCACTGTACCTGTTTCCTCAAAAGTGGGGCCAGTGGAGAAACTACTGGTTGTATTTAGATACAAAAGGTTTACACTTTCATCCCAGTGATCAGAAGGACAATTTCACTGTCTTTCACAACTAGGTCTTTTCAACACAGAGCTGATGAGAAGGAAGTTAATGATATGGAGACTGGCTGGCATTCCCATGCCACTGTTGCACTGTTTCTTACACCTTCAGGCACTTGCTGCAAGGATTTAGACTCTGTGACAAAACAAGCAGCATGGATATACACCAGAAGATAATAATGCAAACCTGAGTGTATTCTGGCACCTTTTTGACCACATCTAGTAGGGTATGCCTATTTGACAACATTTTTGTAAACTATATACTATTCAAGTAGTTTATAACCCTTAAAATGAACACAATTTTATTGTTAAAATATTTGTTTCCACTAATGCAGGTTTTACTTGTAGTGAAAAGGAAACAAACTGTAAAAACACAAACTAGTGTTACAGATTGTATACAACCTGAGTAATCTAGTACCAGTAGTAAGACTATAATTTTGCACAGCCTGAATCTTACTGTTCAGCATTAAGAGATACTGAAAAATAAAATTCTAACATCACTGCAAAATTTACTGATGTTCTCTGTTTCAAAAGTTAGGGACACACTTTCCTAAGCAAGCAGCTTCTTTTTTGCAACAAATGGTGCTGTGGCTTCTCTCAGAAGCCTATGAAGAGGCAGCTTTTGGGTAGTCACTCTGCTGCATGAGCTTTAGTGATGTGGTAGCAATGAAAAGTCTAGAGCATGTCCTGAACAGACACAATCAGAAGCTGAGAAGCAGTTTAGTGGAATGTGCAGAATTTTCAAGATTGCTAATGGCAGGAAGTAAGCCTATTGTAAACATGGACAATATTGTAAAATGGACTTGTATTCATGTTAATAAAAACGCTGCTAATGATTTGAAAGCAAATTGTCATGTTTTGACAATTTAAACAAAAAATATTTCTGAGTGAAAGCACTAGTATAAAGATCACAAACACAGGGTCTGGTCAATGTGGAAAACATGCAGATGACTTATCTAATCTGGCACTTCTGCTCACAATAGCTCAGTTTGTCTGCTTATGCTCACAGTGGGATATGCTTCCTAAGAATTGCAACAGAATCAAGGACATCACATGGACACGTTTTACCCTGCATTTAACTCTTAATATTTTTAAAAGGATTCGTAAGACCTGTCAGTGATCAGAAGTGTCTGCCTGCCTTCTCCCCACTGCTGGGAGAATTCCACACAAAGGAAGAGTAGCCTCCTCCAAACTGTTCTGAAAGTCAAGGGTCTTGTAACTTGGTTATTCCAGGAGGTGGTTATCATTAAAAATGTGGTTCTATTTCTCAGCAAAGGGCCCCTGTTGTCTTACCAGGCATAATGGTCTTCTGGCAGTGAAAACACTTGGATGAGTACTCATCAGAGTAGCACTCGGTGCACAGCAAGACCTCGTCCTTGGCAGCAAATGGTTTCTCCACGAGTGAGCGACTGCACTTGGCACACCTGAAGCACCCCTCATGCCAGTGGCGGCCTTTGTAGGCCAGATCCTTGGAGAAAGTAAGTTCATGTTAGTGAGAAAATTTATTTACAGTGTTTTTATCCTTCGGTTCCTCCCAGAACTAAAACAAGAAAGGAAGATCATTGCAGTGGTGGGTCCAGCCAGAAGTGTGCTCAGGGAAGGGGCAGGTACTCAGTGTCACACTGTTGTGTAGATCTCTTGCAGAGGCCATTAGGAGCTGATTTGACAGAATGTCTTTCCTTATGTAACACAAAGGTATGTTTTTATTGGAAGGACCGCATTACATATTACAGTTGTCTTTCAAGGGGAAAAAAATGATCAACATTTTTAATGTGCACAGACCACTGGAGAGGAAGCCCATATTCTATAGAATTTGAAATGAACCTTATGTATTTTCAGTGTTACTACTTCCAGCTGACATGACATAATGCTAAGTTATGTCAGAAATCAAGCAATTAAAACTCATTGAGAACAAAATAATTATTAGCAAGATTAAAAAAAAATCATTGCTTTTGTTTACATCTGATATAAATCCCCCTGAAAACTTGGCAGAAAAATGTTTGTTTAAGAGTCAGTGGGCATAAGGGATGAAAGAGCTAACAGTATATGTATGAGATCCTGACTAAGAACGCAAAAAAAAAAAAACAAAACAAAACAAAAAAACCCAAAACAAAACAAACCAAAAAAACCCACCCAAACAGCAGATTTAATTTCCCCACAGTTAGAAAAGCCAGGGGAAAATGCACCTCCAAAAAACCCTCCCAGCTTAAACAATAAACCCTTCCAGGACTCTTTTATAAGTAAGAAACCTAAGAGGGCACAAATCCAATCTCATTGTTCTCCTTGATCATGCCCCTGCCTTTTAAAGAGCTAAAAATAAAAGAAATACCATGCTTCATTTCAGGAGGTGCTGAGCATTTACCAGCTTCATTTGCTTTAGTTAGGACTCTGAACCTTGCAGGAACTCGGCTGTCAGCCCAGAGCAGCCTGAGGCAAAGACTGAGTGAGGAGGAGAGGAAGAAAACCAAGCTCTAACCCCTTGGCAGAGGTAAGACCATCAGCTGTAGGTCTCTGTGTTACACTTTTCTAGATGTCTCTAGCCAGGTGCACTCCTTTCTTACACGTCTGCTTTTTCCTCTCATTTTTCCCTTCCATTCTGTCCAAAGACATGGATTTTTGTTTATGATCCTCAACAAGAGTAATCCTGTCACTTATTTAATTTTTAATTTTAAAGATGAAATTAAGTGAACTCAAAGCATGTGTTCTCCTAGTGAATCTGACTGCTGCTACGTGTACAGTGTTGATGTGTGTGAAATGCTGATGAGAGTTTGAGGAGTGTCTTCACCCAAATCAGCATTTTCCTTGGATGATTCCTATATGTAGACTATGTGCTTTGAAGTGCTTGGGCTGGGAAAGCCTTCCAATAAGTTTATTTTAATATATTTCTGTCCTTTTATTTCTAAGGAACATAGGCAAAGAAAGCATGGGGAGAAGGTGACCAGTACACACTGAACTTGGCAAAATAAATGCTTTTTGATAGGTTTCATTTGACCTTAAAATTCAATGTCAAGTGTATGTCCTCTAAATTGAAGTATGGGGTACTAGAAACCCTGTCAAAAACCACAGAAGAACTTGAATTATTAATTAATATTTTAAAAAATTGAGAGGTGAAAGGAAAGACAAGCAGCAGAAACACCGCCATTAATATACCATCTGTGACATGAGCAAGGTAAGCACGGAATATAGCAGAAATTTAAAAATACTTTATTTCCAAAAAAGAGAGAGAGAATGTGCAAATTCTAAACATGTTGTCTTCTAAGCTTGGCATCTGCTTGTCAACACCTACAGTAAAAGTAATTTATTAATTGCTCAAAACATTTTTTCAATGAACATGTCTCAGAAATTCCGAGGTGTCAATCAACCTGATACACTGAATCGCACTACCCACCCTATCACCCCTCCAGCACTGTGCAGATCCTGCAGCCAATGAGTGACTGGAGGCGAAGGATGGAGCCTAGCTGAGGTCCACACACCCACCACAGCCTTGCTGTAGGCCTGGGGCATATGCATGTGCAGATTTCCTCATCTTTGGTCCCAGAGCTTTCCTTTTTCAGGGAAAATAGCACTGTTTCACTCTGCTGTGTGTGGATGTACAACAGCTATGGTTAGGTCTCTTCAGCAATACAGGGATATGAAAAGGGGTGGATATCAAATCTACCATTAAAGGAATTTGATTTGTGTATAATTTAACAAGGAACAAAAAGTTCAAGCCAAATCCTTACCTTGGAGTTGCACTCAATGGGTTGCTTGCACTCCTGGCAGGGGTTGGCATACAGGCTGTCATAGCACGGAACACAGTAAGCATTTTCTTCTCTTAGTGCGTATTTCCTGCCGCGCAGAGACTGCAGGCAGAAATGACAATCTGTGTGGCTGCTGGCCATCCTGCTGGCGCCCTCCACGTGATCTGCAAAAGATGGAAAGGTCATGTAATTCAGTGCATAATGCTTGCTCAAATACTAAGTAATGCTGCATTACCTGTGAAAGGCATTTCCTGGTCATTTGCAGTGCCCTGGATTTCTTAATGCTGGCTTGTTCAACAACAAAATGGTAGCCTTTAACAACATATACTGTGAATTGTATCACCTACATGATGGGGAGCAAGAGGGCTGCTTCAGCTTGTTCTAACGTTGTTTCAGGCCAGACACCTGAAAATGAAGCCAACTTCACATTCCCTACATAAAACTACTGGCATTATGAGCATTATGTACTGGATCCTGAGATATGGTTCATCCAGAAATTGGGTAATGGAGATAGAAGCAATAATTCAGAAATGAAACCAACTTCAGAGTTAAAAGACCAAAGAGAAGAGGCAGGCACTTTGTAGTGTGTTCCTGACTTGCTCTGGATACTCCTGTCCTTCTACTCGTTCCTTTCTTTTCAAAATACCCCCACATCTACCTGACCCAATGGAAGGAAGACAAGGGACTCCAGGATATATGACTGTTTTTTGCATTATTCCAACTGTGCTGCTAATATTTGGTGACATTTTAAAGTCACACAAATATTCCTGGAGAGCAAAACAGTAAAATATAAAGAAAAATAAACTAAATAATAAGTCAAACAAAATCAGAACTCAAAGAAAGTTTTCCTTGTTGTTATTGGAAAAGATTGGTTTTTCTTACATTTTTCTTTATTTCTATATTGGATTCCACATTGTCAGTACCAAAATAATGTGAAATAGTTTATATTTCTGTGCCAGACAAGTGCAGGAAATACCACAAATCTATTGAGAATCAGTTGTATGAATTTCCCATCCTTCAGTTTTTCAGGCTTAAGAGGCTTGGACAAGCATCCAAGCCTCAGCTGCTTATAGATGTGCAATAATGAATGTTTTAAGGATTGTGGATTTTAAACCCTATTTCAGTCTTCTTATTGCTGGTTGGATCATCATCACTTTGCTAAAATTGGGTCTTGATTCTTGGAAATGAAGGAAGAAGAAACCAGAAAGTTCACAGTGTAGCAACGCCAAAAACATCTGCTGGGCTCCTTGGGTTGCACTCTTCATTAAACTCAATGAGTGTAGCTGCAGCCAGTACCAGCAATCATGAATTTTAAAGGAGTTGAAAACGACTGGGGAAGGTCTAACATATTTATGTGTCAGTGACTTTGGGCAGCTGAAATTTTTGCACTTTGAATAACAGGGCAAATTAGTTTCTCTTAAACAGATGCAGAGCCTGAGAATAAAAAAGAACATACAGAAGACAATGTAAGAACATACAGAAGATTTGAGGGAGTTCTTATCCATTACAAAGCCTACATCTAGCCCACTTAGAGTTACAACCTCACACTTTGACTTTTATGCACTCAGTGATGGCCTGAACCATACCCACTGTTCAGGTTTAAAAAGGCATAAAATCTTATCCTGGGTTTCTGCTTTGGTAAGCTCTAAACCAAAATGGTTGTTTGAGCTGTGAGAAAAAACCAATTACTGCAGGTTTCCACTAGCACCAATGCATAAGGTCAGGCATTTATGAATCTGTTCTGGGAGATGTAGTAGTAAAACAGTGGAAAGGGGGCAGGGAGAGTGGCTGTCATACTAATTTCAGACCAAAAGTAATGACTTGGCTGGAAAGCTTGTTGTTCCTATAAATTGAAAATCTTTGGGGTTGAATTGATATATGGTATTTCTTACTGCCCTTAATATTTGTGTCAGCCAAGACAGCGTGTAGTAAGAAAATAATCTGGAACCCAGATCAGTGGGAAAAATGCTTTCTTAAAAATATTTCTGATGTGTTTTATGTGATGTCCTTGGAAAAATAATATAACAGGGCTTGAATCAGGACTTCCATTTCCTCAAGATCAAACAGAGATGTGAATGTGTAACAAATAAACCCATTCATATAAGAAAATTACATCCATCAGCTTGTACATTTACAGAACATATAAAACCAGGAAGAGCTCAGTGTATTTAATGCACAACCACAGTCATGACCAAAGTCAAAGTTAAGTTTTGCCCATTTTGCTCTTTACTGGGGAAGAGTATAAATTGGTATCTAAGGACACAATCACGGAGTGTTTGTGGTTAACTCCATAGTTAAGGTCACAGAACAGGCTTGAAACTGGGTTTCAGAGGATTTTATTTTTTTTTTTTTTTAGTGAGAATTAAAGTTATGAACTGCCTCGGACGATAACCCCAAGTGAACTACCTTTCTGATCCCCTCTGTGCTGGATCAGTACTCCTGCTTCCTGACAGAGTTTCATCTCAGTCTAAAAGTGGCAACAGCAAAATCCACACAGGGCATTCATTAAACTTTTGTTACTTATAGCACATTTTTGTTGCACAAAGCTCACCAACAAATAGCTTCCCATGTCTGTAGAAACATCTCTAGTTTTTTATCCTAATGAATGTCAATCAGTTTTTTTAAGTTATCAAAACCTCTGCATTTCAAATAATTTTCTTTAAAAAGTGGTTCTCTTGATTAATGATTTTTCTCCCCCAGGAAGTCAGTCTGTTCCAGGAAGCCCAGGCTGTGTGCACAGAGAAGACCCACTACTGTAATACTTCAGAACTACTGAATTTGCAACGTAACTATTCTATTAAACCCTTATATGGATATGAAAGCAAAGTACTATTAATCCTGTTGTACAGATGAGAGCTGTTGCTTGAGAACTTTAATAAAGTACCCCCAAGAACAGAGTCAAAGCCTGAAGGTGTCCTTGGGCTGCTTCTCTAGTAAAATGCTCAAGCTGCCCAAGACTTTTCTTCAGAAGGTCTTCAGAGTTTGACCATGAATCATCATAAAAGACCATGTTTGGGAATGAAGCGGCAATGGTATGCAAAAGAATGAAGATTTTTTGCAAAACTTTTGGCAAAAGTATGGGTAACCTTTGAGAACTACTTTTACCATTAGAAAATGCAACAAAAAAGGTAAATCTCATCTCTCCCAGCACCACTTATACATGCTCCAATAAATAAGTAATGGTACGAGTGCCACACAGTGAAGTAGAATGTTTTTCTTGTGCTTTGATCCTAATCTCTAGAGAAATATGTTTACTTTAAGTTTGCTGGAAGCTAGACTTTGTGTTTTGAAGGTCAGCTAAGAAATCTCTGGAGATCTGATGTTATTCACTCTCATGGAATGAAACGCTGACTCCAGCATTCCAGCTGCTAACTCGAGTCCTAAGCACAGGGAAAGACTGCCATGTTGCCCTTCCTTGGGAAAAGATTATTTTCTTATTTAAATTGGAACATTTTAAATTGGAAGCTAAATAAATTTTTATGTACCTGGTTGGCAGGGATATGAGCTATAATTTTTAATACTCAGAATATTCCAAGAAGGTGCAGAGAGATGTTGCCAAGGATGTGAGGATATTGTAACTGGAGTCCCTTGGGTCAGATTTGAGAATGCTGCAGTCTCATGGACTGAATGATAAAAGAGATGAAAATACAAAAAAGTCAGTCAGCCAGCTGTTAAAGCAGATTAAGATAGAATTTAGCTACAACAAATTCAGACAGGGACTTTCTGGAGAGTCAAATTATTTCCCATAAAATGCAAAACACTAGAAGACTTCCAGTGAAGAAAGCTGTAAGAACATGGTTGTGGAGTTGAGTGCTGATAAATATGGAACCATCAGGAAAAGAATGGTTGTTTTTTTTTCTCACTGGAGCTAAAAAGCAGAGCCAGAAGGTTAATATACCTTTCAATAATTAACCTTGATGTTTTCTATAAATATATGTTAATCTTCCTGACATCATACAAAAATAAAAAGGCCAAAAACCTTCATACTCAAAACATTCTCAGAAAAGAATTAGTATATACATATGGATGTAGATATGTACATACAGGTAAAAGTGTTCTATATTTCACTTTGTGGAAATTCTAATGGAATATTTCTTAATCTAAATAGGTATGCCGTTGAACTCCATCATCTTTTTCTTTAATAACAAACTAAGGCTATTTCTTAGAGAGGCAGAAAGAAAAAAAAGACGGGAAAAAAATCCTTTGAACAGCACTGAAGGATAAGAAAAACAATTTGATATCTTATGATGAGGACACCCCTGCAAGCTGCCCTAGGCACTTGTTCATTTTCATGTAAGTGCATTTTTTATCTTCTAATGCTATTTGCCTTATTTGCACGACTCAATTTTCCCTATTTCTATTTTTGTCTCATGCATTTACATACATTAAGAGTTCTGTAATATTTGCTTTTCTAAAAATTCTTTTGCTTTTCTAAAAAAGGCTAGAGACGCAGTAGGAACTAGGGGCATATATTACAGATCAAGTCAAACCAAGAACCTACTGGAAAGAAGACACAGATACTAACTCTGAACTATCTTATCTCTGTGGCGCAGGACAGCAATACAGCGTCAGGTCCTGGAAGTATCTGAGTGAGTGCAGAGCTCTCACTGTTGAAATTCTCCTTTAAGCAGCCAGGACATATGCCAAACAGGACACAGCTGTAAGAATCCAACTATTCTGCTTCATGGTCCACAAGTGACACTGTTTTGGTGGGATGTCAAGGCAAAGCAAATATTTTAGAGGTTGGTCTGGTAATTTGTGCTGAATTGTACTGTGTTTACACACCCCATGACCACAAGCAAAAAGGGCAAGAGCTATGGCTTAACTAGGGGAACAAGTATCTCAGGAATTTTGTAATTTTTTCCTTAATTGGTATTGCTGTCTGCTTTGTTTACACCATACAAGCTCAAATGGTGTAGTCATCTAAATTCTTCCTTTTTTTTTTTTTTTTTTTTTTTTTTTAAATAATTCTTACCCACATTTACAGGTTTTCACATAGTCTGGTAGAGCCAGAGTTTTCTCCTGTGTCATTATGGAGGTCATTCCTTTCTGACTACTGTCAAATGTATGGAATAAAATGAAGTGATGAAATAATTCGGCTGTGCACTGCTGTAACTTTCAATGTAAAATCCTGACAGTATTCTTAGTTGTACTTCCCTTATTAAATCAGAAAACAGGTTTGAGGATTGCATCTGTTACAAAAGGTCATCTGACAAAGACCACTCAAGTTAACTGGTGAGTTAGATGGGACAGTGGCACCCACAGCAAACTGGCAGATGACACCACAGTGGGAGGAGAGGCTGATACACCACACGGATGTGCTGTTATCTAGAGGGCCCTCCCCATAACTGGAGAAGTGGGGTGACAGGAGGCTTGTGAGGTTCAGCAGGGGCAGTTGCAAGGTGATTCTGTGATACAGAAAATATATGACTGTTGAATGACAAAAGAGGGAGGGTAAAATTCTCCACAAACACTCAACATTCTTTTATGGGCATTAGAACAGGAGTGGGGACATTTTCATCGCAACAAAACAGGTCTCTTGTGCATGCCTGTTTTTTCCAAGTACCCTTTCATGCCTTTACTCACCTGCAATCCATGATTAGGGAATCATGAATGGTACTTCAAAAAGTGTTTAAATAAACAGAAAGTGGAAGTTAAAAATGAAGACATGCATTGAAGTCCTGATCTGAGACTTACACCCTGTTCATCACTGTTGTGCAAATCATAGAGTCATAGAATTTTACGGGTTGGAAGGAACCTTAAGGATCATCTGGTTCCAACTCAAATGGGCAGGGGCACCTCCTATTAGACCCGGTTGCTCAATGCCCCATCCAATCTGGCTGTGAAAACTTCCAGGGCTGAGGCATCCATAATTTCTCTGTGCAGCCTGTTTCAGTGCCTCACCACCCTCACAGTGAAGAATTTCTTCCTAATGTCTATAATAAGTTTCCCATCTTTCAGTTTGTACCCATTACTCCTTGTCCTATCACTACAGTTCCTAATGAAGAGTCCCTCTCCAGCTTCCCACTAGGCCCCCTTTGGATACCGGTAGGGAGCAGCATCAGAGAAGCACTTTGGAACCACCTCTGCTAGAACAGCATCTGCACAAAACGCCTGCACAGCTGGGCAGAAGTGCCCCAAGGAAACAGCAGCATCTCAGCCATACACTGACAATACCTGGCAGGGACACACCTCCCTGGAAGTGACACAAGCCTGCCTTTGGGACTGAAATCTTTCCCAGGGAAAACAGTCGTTCTAAGAAATGATACCTGTGTTATACAAGGGTGGGTGAAGTGCCTGGAGGTCACCAATCAAAACAGTCTTGCCACTAACAAGAAGTAACAGAACTTCAATAGGGAATGCTGATTCTGACAGTAATCTTTAAGATCTTAATGAAAAAATATGTAATTTCTCTTCTTTGCAGATGTCCTAGTTGTAGAGACCAGATTTCCCTACCCTTACATTTTATTTCAGGAATAGCATGGTGGATGAATATTACTCTACTGTGTGAGAAGGGGTGCATCACATGAATTACAATCATTAAAAAAAAACAAAACTACAACTGACTACACAGCACAACTTTTTCTAGAAGGGTTATTTAAAAGCCTGTGACCTACTTAGAACTGCTTTAAGAAATAAAATGAGCAAAAATATAAAGATCATTAGCAGCAGCAGCATTGTTAGCAACAAGCTAAAATTGGAAAGGATTTTCATTACCCCATTTTTACCCTATTTAAAAAAAGAAAGACTTGCTTCCCCCAAACCCAAACATAAATCCCCCAAACGATAATCAAGCATCTGCTGCAGTGGCTTTTCCTCTTATCTCCAGCTGTGCTATGCCAACCTGACCTGATTTCCTTAGGAAAAATATAAACCGAGAAACAGCACTCTTTTAATAAAAGGATGACACCTTATCAAAATGAAACAAATCTAAAATTTTCTAGTCTCAGCCTTGTTAAGAGATTGTGATGAGTTAGATGGCATTACAACTTAGGAAAAGCAAATGCTACTGTCAGTAGTACTGGTATGTAAGATCCCTACTTCAATTATAATTTTTTCCACGTATATTGATTTGTAGGCCAAATATTTCATAGGCCAGTTTTGCTGCTTGCAGAGCTTCCTCAGGCTTTTCTGCCACCTTCTTATCAAGCTCATCTCTGAAAATAGGGATAATGTGGCTCTGCAGATAAGCCCTAAGCTGCTATTACACCAAAAGAAATCATTGTTTGTAAAACCACTGCTGTACAGTTTAAGAAGTGCTGGCCACTGCAAATGTCTTCCTGTTATATGTGAGATGTTTGTGGTGACCATTCCTGTGACACTCACTCTCCAGTGCTTCCCAGGAGAAAACAGGCTTCAAGATGGGCAATTCCAAGAGGTAAGATCAAGTAATAATGGAATGGTTTGGGTTGGACACAAAACCATTTAAGGGACTGTAAAGATCACCTATTCCCAACCCCCCTGCCATGGACAGGGACTCTTCCCAGTAGACCAGCTCTTGCTCAGAGCCCTATCCAACCCGGCCTTAAGTACTGTCAAGGACTGAACACCCACAGCTTCTCTAGGCAACAACAAAAAGGAGGGGCAAGCAGAAACATTAAAGAGAGCTAAAAACAGCCTGATATCTACCTATGGACTCTGGATTTTTTATGACAATTAACGCAGTAGCCTTGTTTATGACATTTAGCATTAATCCTCTCTGCAGCTGCACTGTTTTGGGAATACAGAGATATAACAATAACAGCAGAAGCATATTAAAATACATATGCATATATTGTATCTTCTAGGTAGACAGACCATGAAGCTGGTAAAGAAAATCTGAAAGAAATGTCACTCTTTGTATTCTATCAAGCAGCAAACTGGTTATATGATATAACTGAGACAGATGGCGAGAAAGGTTTCTAGGAGAGCTCACAACAAACATCCAACATGAAAATATGCTGTGGGTACTCTTCAACAGACTTATTTACCTTCCTTCTGCTTCCCTCTAAGTGTTACATGACCACCTGCTGTATCTTCTCTTAAAACGGATCACTGAGAACACTGGCATCTGTGTGCAAATTAATGTAGCTGAATAATTTATCTCAATTAATGGATGTCAAATTAGGTGATTTAAAATTTTCGGGTATAGGACATAATTCTACAGTTTAGGGTGGTTTTGCTCTTATCTGTTGGGCAGTGCTATGCACAATTCTGTAATGAAGTCTGAGCATCTGCACCATGGTTGCAGTTACAAAATAGTGCAATTCAGCTGTGCGGGCATACCACCAGTGATGTGGAATTATAGCAGGGTGGCTTTTTGGTTTTAATTCCTGCCCTGTGTGCTTTAAACACACTGTGGACAGGAAAACCTTATTAGCTTATCTACACAGATGCATCAAGGACAGGCTGCTGGCTTTTGGGCTGGTGAAAAAAAAAAATTATTATTCAGATATACACATTCTTTTACATCATGTCCTATATTCACTGTTGATAGTTATCCAGCACATTTCATTCTAGCACAGTCAAAGGATATATGGACTCAAAATGTAAAAACACTTTTAGAAGTGGTCTCAGAAAAATAATTTTGACGACAGTGAACGTTTTTAGGAGAACACTTTTAGGAGTGGGACTAGTAGAAAAAAGAGCAGGGAGTGGAGATCTTTGGCTTTCTGTTTGTCCTCTACCAGGGAGGAAAAATAAGTGTCCCTAGGACAAATACCGAACAAAAAATGTTGGTGGTTTTCCTTTTTTTGCTTTTTAAATATGTGGCTTTGTGTATCATCCATTAGGCAGGCAAAAATGTTATTTAAAGACCTCTGGAGTCTTGAGCAGTTGAGTAGATAATGTGCTGTCAAACAAGGCAGGGGATAACATGGCATTGACTGAGTTTTAACTTGAATCTTCACATCCTGTGGCATCAATAACGACCAGTCCTTACAGACATTCAGCTCTGGGCTCCCGTCAGTGACATTTGTCCCCTACTTGAAGACTTTGTGACTCTTACATTACCTGTTCTGCCTTCTTGGGAGATAAAATCTGCAGAAAAATTATGTGACTGGGTATCCAAACATTTCCCTCAAGCCTTACAGTCTCTGCACCACACATTAAACACTTGCTACTTAAAATAGCCTAGAAGTGGCTATGATTTAAAATTAGTAGACCATGGTATTTTGTCTTTCTTTATTGTGATGTCAGGTCACTGACCCTTCAGTAACTGCCCTGTTGGGATTTTTGTAATGTCCTGATATGTGAAAAAAGTCTTTGTTGCTGTTGTTGTTTTGTTTTTGATACCATGACTTCAGAGTGAATTTCTTTCTATGATTATAAATATACACTATCTAAAAATCAGTTCCAGTGTAGGATTGACCTCATCTGATTGAAGGAAAAATTAAGGCTAAAGTTTATCTGAACACTGAAGAGAGTCAACATTTACTTCAGAAAAATAAAACCCATCACTAAACCTTAGAATGCTGGAGGAAATTTGGTAAAAATCAAGAAATTCCTTTCTAAAATCGAGGAACATTTTGAGAGCATGTAATTTAACTCAAGGATATTGTGGAACAGTGAGCCCACTGATACCAGTAGAGTCTGACTGATGTGGACTTATTCTAGTGGTGATGTGAAGAATGAAACAACAACCATTTTTGCAAACCTCGAATGGATTTGACTGGTTTTGGTAGAGGATGGTGCTCAGAGACTGTAATTGTGACCAGCTGTGGTGAGAAAGGTTCATTTGAGGAGGGGGAGAGTGGAACACAGTGGCAGAAACTGCACCAAGGGACAAATACAATCCAAAGCCTTTCTGCTAATTTATGTAAAATTTATTAAAAGTTTTCAGTAAAAAGTCTAAGCAAGTGATCAAACAAATCAAGAATTCTGCTACTGTATTTTTTTAAAAATCCAACAAACCCAAACTGTTTGAGCTTTTAATTTGAAATATTTCTCAATGCTCTTCAACTGTCAAGCATTAAACTAAAAAAAGATTGCCAATTAGGAGACCAGCATGAAATAGTTTTTACTCCTAACATTTTTTCCCATGCAAGTTAGATTTTTGAACTTTAATTATGCCACAGTTTGCATGCTTAGCACATAAATGGATCATGATGTGGCTGAATTCGAAACTTGAAGAGCTCACTTGAGAAAGACTGAGATTGATAAGCATGTTTAAGCCTAAAACTGTTATGGGCTTCTCATAAATAGAATTAAACCTAAACCTCTGAGGTATTTTACAGTCATCCTTTCAAAGGATTCAGAATGCTTTTCTAACAACAGTAATAAAGTAATCCTAAAACACATTTGTGAGTTACTTGTCTACAGAAAAGGTTAATACTTGTCAAAGAAGAGTAATTGACTTTCTCAAGGTCAGAGAGCAAACCTGGGGGAGTGGGAACAAAAGAAGCCATTCACTGCACCTTCGCCATAGATGGGTCTGCTCATCAGGCTGTATCCGAGGCACTGGCCTGGGATAGTTAAAAGCAGTGTACAAATGTTGCCAACTGGTCAACTCCCAGTGCTAGAGGTAGAAAACACTTCCAAATTTAGCCAAAGCAATAAAATGTTCCAGTTGCGCTCGTTGCAGTTGTCCTTTATAACCCTGAGGTCATGATGAATATTCTTATGCAAAATGTTCTGTCAACAGCTACACCATCCTCTGGCACTTGGCCATTCTTGCTGTTAATTCTGTTACCTACGCACAAAGACACATTACAGGAAGACTAATATTTTTCTGACTGATAAAGCCTCTTAAGCGTGAGGCCAGCGACCAGCTAGGGCAGCCTGTTCAGATCCATTACCCACACTATGCTGAGATGTGCAAGAATTAACCAGTCCTTTTGCATGGACCTTAAACAAATTCAAAGGCTGGAAGAAGCCTTTGAACTCATAGCTTGGAAGAAAAGTAGCATACTAGCCTGAATAAAGTAGAATCAAAAAAACCTAAGTTTAAGAAAGGAGAACAAGTAGGGACAATAGCTGACATGTACAACATGGCAACAGAGAATGGGGATATTCACAAAAGCTAGATTAAACCTCGTGAAGCTAATGAGTAAGGCACTTTTTTTAGATAAAGGACAGATACAAATTCCTCTTTAGGGTGACTTCTAGCAGAAATTAGTCATCATTATGAAGGAACTAAGGCAGTGTAGCTTCCCTTTGTGAGTCTTGTCCTTCCCTTTATCTCTGCTACAGAATTTCTATAATAGGGTTTTATTAGCATGTTTTCTTGGAGTCATGTTTGCATATTTCCACAAAAATGTCCTTAGTTGATCCCTCTGACATTTTACAGGAAAACACAAATGTATGAAACAAGGAACTCACAGCCTCCTTTCTCATAAGAGCTGCATGCCCTGTTCCCAAAAGAAAGAATTCAGCTGCAGCAGTCCAACTGGAACATCAGCAGCATTTCACCACACCAGCTTCCAAACTTAGGGCTCTAGAGATTTTAATAGAACAGTTGAACTAGAAATTATTACCTTATGAGCATGAGGGAAGTGTGAAGTAAAACTGCACTTGGATTTACACTCCAGGCAATCTAAAAGCCTTGACAGAACCTAGAGCTTGAGTCGGCAGGAGGGCTGCTCCTTCCAACAGGTTTGGAATTTCACCCTCTGATTTTGGGTCTGGTGTTTGGAAGCATGCTGGTTAAAATATTTCTTTCTGTCTGCCCATGGTTAGGTAATACTGAAAGTTTGTAAAAATTCTTTCAAGAAATAAACCTCTGGTAGGAAAAGAAATGAAAAAAGCTGGGATTATCGGTACGGAGCTGACAGAACATGTCTTACCATGTCAACCAAAAAATACATGCTTTATAAATTATGATTGCCTGCAAATAATTTGGAGACAGGATACATCAGAATATCTTTCAAGCAGCTTTTGAATTAATTTTTCTCTAACACTGCAAGTTAGTTATATCATCCCAATATTCTACCAATTAAACACCCTTGAGTCAAAGTGATTTTCCTGATCCTGCAGTAAAATTACATGGGATGACCATCAGCAATCTGTAATGATGTTAATATATCAAATCCATTACAGTTTGTTTTGTACAAATAGCAACTTGTTGCAAAGATAGAAGAAAAATATTAACATAAACAAAAAATGGCATCTGCAACTTAATTTCTAAATGTAAATTTAAAAAAAAAAAAAGATCCTAAAAATGAAGAAAGATAACACAAAGTGTCTTTTGAAAGGAGAATTTGGAGATGATACTTGTTGTTTAAGGCAATATTTTGACTTCTTATAAAAGACAGCTTGGAAACTGTTTTTTTCCAAAATCAAGAACAATCCACATTAGGTGTTAAAAGTACTCATGCTAGAAACAAGTGACCTAACAGAAAAGACTATCCAGAATTTTTTCTTGTAAAAGCAAATGAAATCTTGATAAGTGATAAAAATGTAATGGGAAAAAGCATACTCATTTTTTGTTGGGTGATTCTTTGGAGTAAACAAAACTCATCCTAATCTCTTTACAAAGGAAACCTCAGACAACCTTTCCGCAAATTAGTGGGTGAGCCAATTACCACAATGAAAAGAATTAATAAAAAAAAATTTAATTTTTAAAAAAACTATCTCTTTAGGTACACAAAATTAAAAACATAATATATATGTGGAAGTCTGCATCTAATTTATTCAGCAGTTTTGTTAGGAAAAACTTCCTGCATACTTGCTCAAAATATTAAAATACTAACAAGTTTAAAGCTTATCAGATAAAGGAATAATGGAAAAAAGCCTCAATACTCACATTCAGTTTTAAGCTCCTTCTCTTGGTAACTTGCACAGCAAAATAAAGGAAGAAATAATTACACGTCTTCACAGAAACAAGCATTTATCAAGTCCAAAAGAAACAGGACACTTTGCCAGAGCTATTTGAGGGTCCCATCAGAATTTGCCTGGATGGGGGAAGGCTGAGGGTCAGTTTATTTCCCTTAGACCTCATGACATGCAAATATCTGGCTGCCTCGCCACTGAATCAAATCATTCTTTGACATATTGTGTTTACAAATGGCAAATACATACCATGTAGGAGGTTCTTAAAGGAACATATTTCTGAGAGCTCTCAAAAGAAAAAAGGCATTTCTGTTAAAAAACAAAACTGTTCAGTTCAAGGGCAAAAAGAAAGCAAGATGGAACATTATTTGTCCCCAGATACACACTGGTTGATGCATAATGAATCCAAAAGGCCTAATGTAGGCTTGTAAATCAGAAAAGAAAAAGTTGCAATTACTAAAGTCTGATTGTTGTGTACAGGAAACAATCCCAGGAGGGGGCTGGGGGGGGTGACAGGGAAAAAAATCTCTAGTTTCAGGAAAGACATTCAGGGACACAGCAGAACTCAAAATTCTGACATGTCTTAAGAATTTTCTGTGGTGTTAGAATTTGCTGCTTTCCACCAGGTGGGAAAGTGTTTATGAGGATTACCATCAGTGTGGCAGAAATGGACTCCTCTAGGCTTTCTCTCAGTATTTCCAAGTATTTCTGGCTTTTGAGTCACAGCCACCTCCTTTACTTTCTACTTGGGCCCAATAGGGGCCAGTTTTCACAGACAGGCTCCTGCATGCACAGAGCATTCAGAGGTCCTTCACATACAATTCTATACTGATCCTTAACCAAATGCAGCTGAAAGTAAGGATACTGTATCCATTTAAAAAAGCAGGCTGAAGTTAGGCAGAGTGAAGAAAGGATGGTTGCTTGTGGTATGAACCACAATTGACCTCAAGGCAGATTTTTCCACAACCAAGAGCCAATAGATCTGAATCACTTGGTCTACAATGTCAAGTGGGTGGGAGCTGTTTAGTATTACAGATAGAAGAAAGAAGGAAATATTTGAATGGTTTGAATATGTATTACGTTATGAGTACTTTGGTAAAATTGCCAAATCTGGACATGCTCTGGAGGCTATCTGTGTCTAGATAGTGTCTCACAGTTAAGACTGATCCCCTGACTACTACTGCCAAGACCTGATGATCTACAAGCTTGTAGTCTTGTTAAACCTCTCCAGACATGCAGTCATCACTTAAACAAGACTGATCTCTTTCCTCCTGTTTTAACTTGTGCTACAAGCCTTATTTATACCAAGCACCTTTCAAGCCTGTGATTTTAGCAGATTGAGGAGAGAGAGGACCAGTTAGGTGTGAATTTGAATCTAGAATGAGAATCGTAAATAGTTTTCTCTTGTCTTCCTTACAGAAAGAAAAAAAAACCTGATAGTATAGTTCTTAACCAAGTACCTTTTCAAGTTCATAAATCAGATCCAGACAGAAGTATTTCTCAAGCAGATCTGTTGAGAGAGCTAATGACACTTAGAAATACTAACACAGTATGTTCTTGCCATCAAGGACAAGAAGTTCAGACATGTCCTATAGCACTTTTCTTATGCTTCAAAGACTACTGTCAAATTTGTCTAAGCTGTAAACAGAGACAACAAGCCTAGAGAAACATCTAAAACAGAATCAGGGTTTTTCCCAACAGGTACAAATTAAGTACAAATGAAGAGGTCAGCAAAATCCTGTTTCCTCAGACTATCAATTAGAAGATGTCTCTTACAGCTCCTGCAGCACTTCTTGAACTTCCTGAAATACAAAGCAGCTTATTTTATCTGTCTTGCAACATGACCTGTCTTGACCTACCTTCTTCTTCATGCTGAAGGTTTGGGAAATTCATCAAGCAAATGGTGGCTCTCCTTAAACTACTTGGGTTTCTTGTTCCAATTTAGAATATTCATAGTTTAAAAAGCAAAACCACATTCCTTAACAATTCCTAAAGGAAAACCTTGTTTTCCTGACAAAATGTCTTTGGCATTTACTGAATATGTTCTGTTATTTGGGATAGCAGAGAATATCTATAATAAAGTCCAATTGTTGTTCAAAATGTTTGGCCAACATGGATTTGGAGACTCAGAAAGCACTCAAAGGAAAGATTCTACATGTCTTGTTCTTATATTCCTCTCTAAGCACCCACTTTGGCCTCTGCTGGAGACACAATCCTGGTCTACACTGACCTTCAGTCTGACCCACCACAGTCACTCTTCTGTCATCTGCAAGAATATTAAACTTCCTATTAAACAAGAAACCCCAATCTACCCATATTTGTAGAAATTTCCATTTCCTTGGCCTACTGTTACTTAGTAGGAAAAACATTTTAGGAGAAACCACTGCTTGAATAGCCTTACTCAAGCCTACAGAGAACAGAACTACTGAAATTTTATCTGAATGAGCTCTCAGAGAGATTCATGATGACAAAACCCACTGATAATATTTAGAAACCTGTACCAAATTTTTAAGAAGCTGCAAGAATTTCAATGAAGAGTTGAAAGTTCTAACAGAGCAACAATTTGCTCAGTTCCAGCAGATCTGCAAGACTTTGCCATTTGAAAAGAAGGAAAGGCAAGGCTTAGACAGGTATTACTCTACCTATGGCTAATGGACCCACTCCAATCTAAGAGCAGCACCAAACAAGGTTATGGGAACATTTGTGAGTGGTTGTGTATAGACACATACATGCATCTATACATGTCAGTTCATGAGATTAAAAATATAATGGTGCTGTTTAGACAGCATAAGTGAAGGTGAGTGGCTGACTAACACTTGAAACCAGAGTAAAAGTGTTAATTTGTAGCGCCTTTCATTTTCCTAGACATTCCAAAGGGCATTTTTGTTTTGTGAACTGCACCTCTAATTTGTAAGACAAGATTATTCTCCCTTACATATACATTCATCCTAGGTAGAGGAAAAAACCCTGTGAATTAACAAAACTCCTTATTTTTCTTTCAGAAGATATACTTCTATATCATAAACTAAAGACTGAATTTCTAAATCAAGAAAAAATTGGAAAAACTGGGACAGTATTCCAACCATGTCTCCTTGAATTCTAGCTAGAAGATATTGCTGAACTGTAGTGTTTCCATTGTATCTACTTCAAAGAATTTATTCTTTTAATCCTTCTTATAACATAGGCTGGAATATAGCAAATTGAACACATGATGAAGTGAATTCTCTAGTAAGTTCATTATCATATCAGCATAAAACTGTATCAAACAGAAATACAGGGACACTCAGAACCATGTGTTAAGTCTAACAGTGCATATGACCTATTGCTGTTTGAAAGCTGCAAGTTGCAAGATGATCAAACACTGCTGAAGTCAACAGAATGCACTTCAAATACTTCATAATTTAATGTTATTAAAATAATTTCTTACTTGCATACAGAATTTCATATAGCATATTATTTACAAAAGAGCTCAATGTCATATAAAATTGTTTACATTCATTATAGGAACTTATTAATTATTCCAGCTAAATAGCACAAAATCAAACCTATTCCTGGTATACAAACTATTTCTTAAACAAAGTTCAACAACCTGAATATTTGTTGTCTTTTATTCCCCACTGTCTTTTACTGTCAGCTGTTATAACCTCTCACCAAGGAAAGAGAAACAACTACCTTTGCTTCTGCCTTACAATTCCAAACTGTTCTTGCCTCATGCCTGATAAAAGATCAGCATTGGCATGAACATTGTAAAACATTAATGCCTTTTAAATATGTATAAAATTATACTGTTTACATCACCAAAACTACCTTAACATTTGTTACTCTGTTACTGGGGTTCCATACCTGGCCTCTTTAACTTCCAATTGTTTCAATTTCAGGCTTGGATATGTTTATGATTAAGTTCACAAGAATATGTGAGTTGTTGGAAAACAGAAAAATTTGAATGGAGCAGAATCTGCACAGAACTTTCCCTCTTTGAGCACTAATTTTAGCAAGGATGGGTGAATGATATTTTTAGTGAAAAGAGTTTTTCATCTCTTATTACTCAACCTTGATGTTATGCAAACCCCCTCACAACACTACATACATGAAATCAATGGGTATTACTGAAGTAATAGAATTTAGATATTTTGAGAATTTTATTTTGAAAATCATCTTCTCTTAAAAATAAATTTAGAAGTATATTTGCCATACAAGAATTATGGCATTAATAGTGATAGAAGTCAGTTTTTCACATTTTTTGTATTTTCCTGAAGACATAAAGTACAGTTCATGTAAAAATAAGGCTCACAAAAAACTTGAGGGAAGCAATATTTCTGTCTATGAAGTTTATGTAGAAAGATCATGAACTGAATCATTTTCAAAAAACTCAGGATAAACAACACCACAAGTTCTCTCAACAGCTGACAGAAAGCAAACAAATATTATTATCTGCTATGGGAACTGGACTAAACAATCAAGAAGACTGCTGAATAAACACATGGCATGTACAGTATGGCAATTGTAACAGGATTTATCTGTTCCCAAAATGCCAATGCAAAAGAGAGTCACCTTTTCTGAATTACAAATTTTAAATGAACAGCTGTTTCAGACATTAGCAGAATACATCAGTAGTATCAGTGTGCTGATGTTCATGAACTTGAATGTTCATGAAACTCACATTAGTAGTGCGTCACTTGCCTGAAGTTTATCAATATCCACTCATACTCAAATTGTTTTTACTGTTGCAGTCCAGTGAACAGAAACTGAAAACATCCACTAATGATACCAGAGTAAAGAAGGCCTTTGCTGCTGTGTGCTATGTATCACAGTATGTTTTAAAACTAGTATTTGAAATTAAGATAGACAGATTTATATGCAATCCTTTCTCACAACAAATCCAAATCAGAGAAGTAAAACTATCAGCCTGTGTGTGTATGGAACAAAATACACTGCTATTTGAAGAATAATTTCTTGAGGTTTCACATGAGGATGCCAATAAAAACCCACTGGTTTTGTACCCAAAGCATCCACAACCGTGTTCTGCCACGTCTACATTAATGTGTGTTAGAAGTACGCTGTAGAAGTACCAAATAACATTTGTCACTATCATCCAGCAACTGTGTTCCCTGGCTGTGATTTGCAAACTACTAGAGGCCAAATTTAAAATATGCCAAGCATTTTCTGTTGTCCCTTTCTTTCAGTATAAAAGAAAATAAAGTCTGACTCTATCATGGAGGTGAACGCACTGAATAACAGTTTTATTCCTCTGTTACAGAAAATTTTCTAGGTCTGAGAACAAGATCTTTGATAGAGGTAGTTAATTCCTGGAGCTCTTTTTGAATGTTTTCTGCTCCTTCCTCCTCTTCCATGTTATCTTTTGTGTCACTCTCTCCGTGTTCCGTTTTCTTAGTCTGGCTGGTCAATTGTTTCACCACTAATCCATGGTATTTGACTATCAGCGAATACTGATCCTGAGGGCAAAAAATGAGAACAAACCCAGGGGATGTCAATGTTACAGAAAGGTAGACAGACCTATAATTAAAGATGTAATTTTTTAAAAAGCATTCTCCCATACTGGGCAAAGAGTTAATGATACAGAAATATATTTCTAATTAAGTATTTGACAACCTAAAGTCCAAGAGACATTCAAAGAGGCAGAAAACTGAAAGTGCATACAAGTGCTGCAAAAACAGGACAATAAACCACTGAAGCATGAAAGCAATGCAGCTAGTAAACATCATCAGTTTCAGCAGTATGAAATACAGAATTTCAATGTATTTGCTCTTGAAGAGGTACATCTTTCTTTAAAACTGGATTAGGAAAATTTTAAAAAGCAACCATGCTCTAGCTCAGAGGAAAGGTGTAAAAATGCCCAGTTGTAAGATTTATAACATTCCCCAAGAATGACTGAACCATAAGACAGGTCTAAGGCCTAATAACAGATTGATTTTTAATTTTATAAAAAAATTCGATGACAGATCTCTGAAGAGGTTGATTTGCAATGAGTACAGATCAGAGGAATTGTATATTCTGCACATAAAGTAATGTTTAGGCATGAAATCCAACAGTGTCAGATTTATGCAACAAAAACAATGCAAGGCACAACTTTCATGCTCTGTCATAGAAAAAAGGTAATTTTCCCTTAAAAAGCTAGAAATTAATACCTCTGGGATCTTGCCACTTAGGAAGTTAATGATCTGTGGTACTGATCTTCCTGGTGCATGAAGCATGCAATGAGTTGAAAACTGAAATAACAATACTGATGTCAGGTGTAGAACAAGAGCTGGATCTTCTGTGACTTTGAGCTGTTCAATCAGAGCTTGTCTGTGCTGAAACAGAACTTGCCTAAGGAACAAGAATATATTAAACAAAAATATGATTTTATGATTTTATCATACAGTAGTTGAACATAGATGCTAAAACTTATTTAGCATAAATTAATTTTAATTTTCTCAACTGACCATTTATTTATGTGGAATTCCAAAACGTTAATTGAAAAGAAAAAAACAAAACAAAAAAAAAAAAAAAAAAACCAAAACAAAAAAACCCCAAAAAAACCCCCAAAAAAACTATCACTGCCATAGCTCAGATTTTGAATGACCCCTAGGGAATTTATATTACAGAAAAATAGTGAGCCAACAAAATTAGCTAAATCTGAATTCTCCTCTTCTCCTTCTCCCATGGATCTAAAACTGTTTGACTTTCTATTTTTCAGTTACGCAGTTTGGAAAGAAGGACTGCCTCTTACCCACTGAGTATGACTGCTCCCATACTAACCATCCCATGTTTGTGCAGCACTATAGCCACATTTCATAAAATAAAAAAAAAAAAAAGTTACCTTTCCTTCTTTTTGTCTCCTTTTTTCACCATAACACCACAAATATCCACTGCAGAGTCAAGGCACGAAAGAAAATCTTCTATACTCTATTAAAAATATTAGAAATATTTAATCTGTGTTTGCAACTATAAAAAAGTTTAACTATTCTTCACAATTAATCACACAAAAGATGACTGAATACACTTGAAATAAACTATAGAAGAAAATAAAGTAACATGTATTTATTAGAAATTATCTTTGTTCATCTTACAAAAGTTCATATACTTAAATACTAACTCACACTGTAATTAATTTGTCTTGTAAATAAAATTAAAAAGGAATACAGGTTCTACAATTATTTACAGATATATTTTTTAAGAAACACCTCAGTATGGCCTTTTGCATAAAAGAATAAATAACTCTCCTTGTGCCTACACTGCCATAATCTGAACTTCTGAGTTTGTTTTTTTTTTTTAATATCCATAATTTTACTAGTTAAGAAATACATGGGAGAACAAGCAAGAACTCTGGGAACAAAATACAAGAAACGTCAGCTACTGGAGAGTCTTGCTCAGTTTTCACTCTTCTCACCTGCCCATGAAAGGCACACTGAATTTCATATGGCAGCAAGGAGCCGAAGGTGACTATCAATATCAAAATGTAAGATCATCTTTTCATCTCTGAAAATTCACAGATACAAAAACACACTTTCTCTCGCTGCCTTACACAAATAGAAAATATTATTTTACCTTCAACCTTCACAGCAGCAGTGGTTATGTACTACTCTATGTGTGTCAGCTATTTATTAGCATTATATCAGCAAACCAGAAAATCTGAACTTGATTTTTACCTTGCCATTCAGAGAAGTATGCAGTTTAGTTAAAGGACCTTTGGTATCTTCTGGCAGTTTACCTAAAATCTTGATTCTGCCCTGTATGGAACAAGAAGGGAAATAATCTGTAATACTAATAATCTTTTTAGATGCCGGCATATTTCAAGTGCAGCAATTACTTATTGAACAAACATCACTGATCTACTTGAGACCGTTAGAAAACAACTATTATTTCTGTACCTCACTTGTGATTGTAGAGTAATTTTCTGTTGTCATCATTGACTCAGATGCCAAGAAGTTGAAAACCAGATTCGTAATGTCTGTACACAGAGTCTTCAACAGGTGTTTGGCAAGGTTAGTCTGAGTATCATCTGTTAAAACAAATAAGTGATTAAAGTAACTTATTATAGTTATCTGATTCCTATGATGTCATCACAGCGCCTTCCAAGCTGTGGACTCTATCAACCATGAAAACTATGAGAAAGTTATCTGGATACATGAAGACAACATCCCTCATGTGCTGTGACATTCTTATGTAATGTTGTTCAGTGAAAAATGTCTGTGAAAAAGCTTTCAGGTCTGAAAGAACATTTTAATGCATTGCT